AAAATATTTTATTTAAAGACAGGGTCTTGCTGAATTACTTAGGGCCTTCCTAAATTGCTGAGGCTGGCTTTCAACTCCTGATCCTCCTGCCTCAGCCTCTAGAGCTGCTGGAATTACAGGTGTGTGCTACTGTGCCCGCATAAATTTTTTTTTTCCCCCAGCACTGGAGATTGAACCCAGGGTTCTCTACCACTGAGCTACATCCCCAGCCCTTCTTTTATTTTATTTTATTTTATTTTATTTTTTGAGACAGGGTCTCACTAAGTGGCCCAGGCTGGCCTTGAAATTGCAGTCCCTCTGTCTCAGGATTCCCAGTCCCTGAGATCACAGGTGTGGGCCGCTGCACTTAGCACATGGCCACTTTTACTATGAACCAGAACCACTACGGTGGCCCAGGCGCTTCTCTAATACTCTGTGGAACTCATCCCTCCTGACAACTCTGGGATCCCTTTACAGAAGAGGGGCCTGAGGCATAGCCATAAGCAGTAGAGCTGAGACCTGGACCCAGCCGCCTGGCTTTGACCTAAGACTGCCTGCTCAGTCTTCTGTCCATATGTGCATATTTTCTCCCCACCGCCCCATGCCTGCCTTGTTTGTACCTGTCCTTGTCCTATTCCATGACTACCTGATTCTGATCCTGCCTCCAGTACTGGGGATTGAACCCAGGGGCACATTACCACTGAACTACATCCCCAACTCTTTTTTTCTTCTTCTTTTTTTTTTCCCAACTCTTTTTATATTTTTATTTTGAGACAGAATCTTTCTAAGTTGCCCAGACTGGCCTCCAGCTTGTGATCCTCCTGCCTCCGTCTCCTGAATCACTGGGATTGTAGGCCTGCACCACGGGGCCTGGCTTTGATGCCATTTTGTATCTACTCCTAGTTGCTACATCAGTTACTTAACTCTCCTGCACCTCGCTTTCATTATCTGTAAAATGGGAATAACTATAGTACCTGCCTCATTGGACAAGATTAAATCAGTGGCAGTAGGTACCCACTGCACCATCCTGCGCGCACCCTGGCCCACCTGGCCCTGCTTCCCTGTGGCCCCCCCCTCATATTGTGTGCCACACCCACCTCTCTGACAGTGGCTGGAGGTCCAGCACCTGTAGTCCGTGTGTCCACCAAAGGTGGTCCTGGCACAGGGCTCACCAGCGGCTCCCAGCACCCCTGGGCACACATCTGCACACTCCTCGCCCAGCTTGTTGCCCACGATGTGGTTGGCACCGGGCGCAGGCTGCAGCAGTCCCCAGTCGATGGTGGACAGGTGGCAGAGCTCCTGGTTCTTCTCCACCCGCACAGCGCCGCGCAGCACAGCCCCCAGCGCGGGCAGCCCCACGTCGCGCAGGTGTGGCATCTCGAAGATGACCAGCGCGTAGCCCAGGAAGAGGCGCGCCCCCCGGATCACCGCGAGGTTGGGGAAGAGGTCCCGCAGGCTCTCCAGGCCGTAGACGCGGAAGAGCAGGAGGTAGTCGGTGACCTGGGTGAGGCGGGGGAAACTGAGGCCGCGGAAATCCTCCCCCGTGGCCGTGAACATGAGCAGGATCTGCAAGTGGCCCTCCACCACGCTGCAGTTCTCCAGCCGCCGCAGCTCCGCCACCTCTGAGCGGATGTCCAGGCTGGGGCACACTGTGGGCACACATGGCATGCGACAGTGAGTGCATCCCGGGCCAGGCACCCCGTCGCCCCTGGCTGCTTTGGGCTAAGGGAACCACATGCGCTGCCGCACACCGAATGGTGTCGGGCTCTGCTTTGGGCTAGGGGTAGCCTCCTCCCAGGGTCTCAGAGGGCTCACCAGCCACTATAGCCATAAGCGAGTCCTTGATTTCCGCTTCCAAACCTATTTCCCCTCAGTCAATAGCAAGCTCGCTCTTGCAGTCCTGCCTGACCCTTTTTCTTTTGGGGGTACTAGGGGTTCATCCAGGGGTGCCCCACCGCTGAGCGACATCCCCTACCCTTTCTATTTTTTACTTTGAGACAGTGTCTCACTAAATTGCCCAGGCTGGCCTCGAACTTTCAATCCTCCTGCCTCAGCCTCCTGAGTCACTGGGGTGACAGGCGGGTGCCACCGTGCCTGGCTACCCTTAACTTTTCTTTCCCTCCCTCTATGTTCTGTGGGCTTCATATTTTATTTATGTCCAGAACCTGACCACTGGTCAACACTCCTGAGGATTCCACCATCGACTTACTCTGGATCTACAGCCTCCAAAATTGCCTTCCTGCTTCTGCCTGGCCTCTCTGGGCTGTTCTCCACTCTAACGCCAGGGTCACCCCAAGACACGGTTGGACCACACTCCTCCTCTGCTTGAGCCCCACCTCCCATGACTCCCATCTTGCTTGATGTAAAAGTCAAAGCCCTACAGTTTGGGCCCCTGTAACCCCCTGATTTCATTCCTTTTCTTTCTCTCCTTCAACCACTTTGACCTTTTGGATGTCCCTCAAACAATCGGCCAAACTCCTGCCTCAGGGTCTCTGTCCCTTCTGTTCCCTCTAGGTAGAACACTCTTCCACCTACGTGGTTTCCTCACCTTCATAAGTGACCATCCTTTTGAAAACTGTGACACTACCCACCCTCCATCCCCTGTTTAATTTTTCTCTAGCGCTCTCAACACTGGTTAATGTATAATCTACTTTATTTATTGTGTTTATTGTAAGCTCCATAGGGCAGCGATCTTTGCTTAATTCATCGCTGGATCCTAGTGCACGGTAGAGTGCCTGACACAAAACTGGCACTCAATAAATATTTGACAGGTGATTGAATCCTGAGGCTGGGAAGCAATGAGCACTGAGCTTCATGCCCCCCTCCTTTTTTGGTGGTGGTGGTCTTAGGGATAGAACCCAAGGGCAGACAGTCTACCACTGAGCTACATCCCCAGCCAGAGCTCGCATTTCAGTTCTTGGGCCCGACACTCTGGGTGTAGATTACCTGATCCCACTCCTGTCTCCAGCCTCAGTCCTTGTCCTGCACAGCCCAGTCCAAGTCTCCTCCTAACCTTCTGATCCTCAGTCACTCACTTCCCCTTCGGGCTTAGTTGTACTTAGTCGTCAAGGCTAGTCATGAGCATACCTGGGGGTCACCTGACACTGTTGTCTGCGTCTCCGTCACCCCCTCCAGGGAGGATGAGGCCCAGTGCAGGGCTGGAACAACAGGGCTCCTCAGGGACTGTGGACCATGGCCATCTGCGTCCCACATGCCTCCCTCCCTGGGGACCCAGAATGCCTGCCTTCCTCAGACTCGGCCCCAGGTCTACTCCTCTGTGTCGCCCAAGGCACTTAGGGCTCTTCCCCTGTAGGGGCTGGATGCCTGCTTCAGTTTCTTCCAAGGGGCCTTGCGTGGCTCCCCTTGCTGAAGCTGCAAGTCTGGTCCAGCTGACCTGTCCAGCCTCTGCTGCCTCCCTTCCCACCTGGCGCTGCGGCAACATCACACGCACTGTCCAGGCTCATTCGATGATGGTTTGTTAGAGGGGCCGGGGCAGGGGAGGCTGGCTCCCAGGGCCTTGCTTCCCACCTTCTTCACATGGTTATCAGTGGTCCTGAGCTTGGCTCTGCCCAGCAGCTGTGTGTGTGTGTGTGTGTGTGTGTGTGTATGGGCTCAGGCAGCCGCACACACACCAAAGGGAGGCAGAGAAGAAGACACTTCTAGCCCTCCAGGAGAAGGCCAATCAGGCTCTGCCAGGCAGATGGGGGGTTCTCTCAGGCGCCCACTTCCCATCATGCCCCTGCCTCTCTAGGGCTCCCCTGATGGGAGTCATTTGGAAAAACAAATCTAAGACCTTTGCAAATTAACCCCTGCCTTCCCTCAAGACACAGCTCTGCAGAGCTGCACTGGGAACGCAGCATCTGTGTCCCCTGACCAAACACTGACCCCACCCACCCAGGGACATGCTCCTGCCCTGACAACTGTGTTCCCGGCTGGCATCCGCTGGGCCCTGTCCTGGCACAGCAACGGAGGGGGAGAGGAGGGGGCTCAGTGGAGGGGCACTGTGGTTTGCAGGCAGAGACTCTGGGACTAGCACCCCTCAGGGGACCCCCAGCCCCAACCCATTTGCATCACTCCCCTGTCTCCGTAGGAAGGGGAGGCTCTCCCCTGCCCCTGGGGGCCCCCAGTCTCAAGGACATCATGAGACCCCTCAGGCAGGCACAGAGCAATAGATTCTGGAGCTCCCTCAGTCTGGAGGGGGATGGTGGGATTGAGGAAGGGGATCCCACTTATTCTTTCCCCTTTGACTCTTCCCCCATTGCTCCTTTTCCTCCCCCCATTGATCCCCTGCTGTGCCCATGAGGGCCACTTGCCTTCAAGGTCACACCCCAGCTTCTGATCCCTACTTGTGGAAAGTGTCCATCTGGGGACGAAGGCTGGGACACTAGGGAAAGGCAGCTCTTTCCCAGAGCCAGGCCCTCTCCCTACCGCAGATAGGTCCTGAGAGTGGGGGACAAGGGACAGGGCCCTGAATGCAGGAGCTCGGGACCTGTCTAGGTTTACTGCCCCATTGACTGAGCCTGTTTCCCGCCTGCACATTCAGTTACTTAATAGCGCCTGGTTCTCAGCTACCTGTCCCAGCCTTGTCCCTTCCCATTCCGTGGCCCCACAAAGGACCTCACACTCTTATAGCCTCATTTATGGTTCTCATAAAGATTTTACAAGGATCATGACTTCACAAACTGGAATGGAAGACATCTATTTATCCCATTTCCAAGTCCTCATCTCCTAGGGAGCTGAGAGAAAAAAACACTTTTATGTAGACCACTGTTTTTCCCAATGGGAAGTCCTTCTGAGAGCTGACCTAAGTCTTCACATTGCAGTAAAGAGTAAGATGCATTCCGGCTGGAGGCTCAGTTGCTTGGCTTCCCAGCCAGCTCTCTGGGAGGGAGATGGAAGTCTGGGAGACAGTGCTGGGGACTCACCCTCTAGTGTATCCAGGCCAAATCCCAAGGAGAAGAGAATCATAAGGTGGCAGGCTCCCCAAGGCCACAGACCAGGCACTGCCATGGTCCCAGCCCTGGCTTGTGTTCCGTCTTGGCCCTCCTCCGGGTGGCTCCACCAGAGAAGAGAAGGGTCTGACCACCTTAAAGGACGCCGAGGCCCAGGCTTCGAAAGGAGGGGAAGGGAAAGGGCAGGGAGAGCAGGAATCCCCCGCTCTGACAGCGGAGGCAGAGGAGGAGCCACAGACACGGCCAGCGACAGGCTGCGGGAGACTAGGGACTCCGTGAGACTCCAGAGACAGAGAGATGGGAACAGAGACGCAGTGACAGGGAGAGCCACAGAAAGGACCCCAAAGGGAGAAAGTGACACAAGGTTCAAGAGCGGCCCGCGGCCTCCGAGGTGAGGCGGAGCGCAAGCCCAGGGACAGCCCCGGGGAGGCCGAGCGTCGAGTCCCTCCGCTGGCCTCCTGGGCGCACTCTGCCAGCGCCCGCGGCCGCGCTCGGGCAATATCTCCCGGGCGGGCCCACCGACCGCGCCCAGCCCCGTCCTCCCCGCCCCCAGGCGAAACGGATTGGTTTGCGGGGACTTCTCCCTCTCTCCGCCCCTCCCGCTGAGCCAAAATATTTAGCCTGACAACTGAGGGGCACAGATCTGTTGGGGAAATAAGGTCCAATTACGAGGGTGGGTGGGGGAGAGGCAAGAACCGAGCTCCCCCAGCCCTGCTCCGGCTGCCCCGGGTCCTCTCCCGGCCCTGCTGCCGCCTCTGCTGCAGACTCCTCCAAGTGGACCTGCACAGCCGGACAGACCGACAGCCCCGCGTGTCCTGGGGAGAGGTGTTTCTGGATTCTACCAACAGGTGCCTTGACACCTGCGGGGTCACTCCGAACAGCCTCGACCGGGAGGAGACTGTTGGAACCTGGCGAGGGGGTGGACAGTGTCTCCTGAGTATTCAAGCCCCGCGCCTCACAGAGCCTCTCGCAGCCTCGGGGCCACACTTGTCCTTGGTCCCTTGGCGGGAGCAAGGCTTAAGGAGGGCGGTCACCCTGGGAGGCTCCGCCTCTGTACGCTCACCTTAGTGAATTCAGGCTGCTCGGTCGGTCTATCTGTGCATCCCTGTGTCGGGGACCTTGGGGGACCATCTGTGCAGGGGCCTTGGCAGCGAGGAAAACTGATGGCCTCTAGGAGGATTCCCTTCCCCCGCTGCCTGGGCACCTGTCGACCTCCTTCCCCAAAGTCCCTCCTCCTCCCTCTCCCCTCCCTCTCCTGGTCTCGAGATTGACGGGATCTTGCAGATGCCAAGGCTGGGTGCTGAGAAAGACCGGGACCTGCCTTCTGGTTCCGTGGGTGCTGGGGATCCCGGGGCTTTCCAGGTGCGCAGCCTCCAAGGGCTGACGCGTCCCCAGCTCCACCCGCGGGCGGCTCCCGCGTCCGAAGAGCTAAGAGAAGGTCTATTAATTTCTCCGTGAAGAAATCAATGCTCCTGTCAGGATGGCGATCGATGCCAGTCCTGCTCGCCTGGCCCTACCCAGCTCGGGGGCCCCAGCTGCCTGGCGGGAGTCGACGACTGACCCGAGGACCCGAGGCACAGCACTCAGTGGGGGCTGCGCACCGCGCCGGATCCACCCGACCCAGGCCGGGAGCGCGCACCTTTGCGTGTGGGCATTTAGCGCCACCCTGTGGTTTCTCCTGGTCAGCGGGGCTTGGGCTCCTTGATCTCCATTTGGCTGTTAGAGGCGATCAGTTCTTCCTCTGTCCCTTCTGTTCATGCCTAGGTTCTGCGTTTGGTCCTTTGGGGATCCTCTCCCTTTTCTTACTAGGGTTTAGAGAGTGTTTCACGTTTTTTCTCAACTGACGTGCACGGCGCCTTCAGGCAAGTGCGTCGTAGGGCGGGGGCTGCCTGGTGTGACCTGGGCTGCAACCTTTCCCCAGCTCGGTCTTCCTCCTCCCACATCTAAAAATGCTGCTGCTTTATACTCCGGGAGAAACAGCGCAGCACTTCCCACTCCCCCACCTCCAGAAGGCACTTCGAAGGCGTTCGGCGGCGGCCTCTCCACTGCTCCTGGAGATGGAGGTGTATTAGCGAAAGGACTGGCACCGGGGCCCCGAAAGGGGAGTCGGCAGAGTTGGGGGCTTCGGAAGGAGGGGCGGGGCTAGAGGTGGAGGGGCGGGGCGGGGCCGGGCGGGGGCCGCTGGCTCCGCCCTTTCCTGGCGGCTGGGTCTTTAACACCGCCCAGCGCACATGTCCAGGGAGGCCCTGTGGCTGGGAGCGCACGGACTGCCGCCCAGCCGAGCGAGGCGGACGCCGCCGCGATGCTGCGGGGCGGACCGCGCGGGCAGCTGGGCTGGCACCGCCAGGCTACGGGCCCGGGCAGCCTGCTGGCTTGGCTGATGCTGGCCTCCGCGGGCGCTGCCTCTTGCCCCGATGTCTGCTGCCGCTTTGGCCCCTCGGGGCTGCGTTGTTCCAAGGCTGGGACCCTCTATAGCCTCCGCCAACTGCCGACCGCCGAGAACCTGACAGAGCTGTGAGTGTCCGACCCGCGACAGGGCGCGGGGACAAGAGGGCATAGCCCTGCCCCGAGGGCGCGGACTCGCAGCCCGACTGCTGGGTCAGGTGGGGCGGGCGCGGCGAGGGTGGCACCGCGCAGCCTTTGGCGCTGCCCCGGCTTCCTCCACTGCTGCCGCTGCCCCTTCCCCTACTAGCCCCGCGGTCACTGTCTGGATGTTGACTAGAACTCAGGGCAGCCGAGTCGCTGACCTCGGGCAAAGGGAGGGGGGATCTCCGCAGCCCAGGTCTGAGAAGCTGAGCGGTCTAGAAGCCGCTTTCTGCAGCTCACCCAGGAACCCACGCTGTCCCCATAGAGGGTGGTAGTCAGCGACAGAGAACCCTTCAGTGTGGCACCTGCGCCCCTTTCCTAGGGAAAGCCATCCCTTTACTCCTCCTTGTCGTGACCAGCCAACCCCAGCTCTTCCCCCGACTTGGGAAAGCTGGAATTGGTGGGAGGTGGTGAGGAAATACACCTCTCCCCATTTCCACCATCCAGCGCCCCCAGGACCCCTCCATTTGGATGTGAGAAATGGGAACTCCCTCCTCTTCCTCCACTCTCCTCCACTCCCGTTTCCCTTTCACCCTTGTCTCCCTCTTTGGGTTAGGGAGACAGGGCTATTGCTGAAGGTTCTCCTACCTTCCAGGTCCAAACCTGGGAGGAATCTCTAGCATTCTGCTGTCTCCTGACATTGTGCAACAATCGGTTACAAAATACTTAAGCACTTTTTAGACCTAAGGAAGCATGCTGTAATAATTGCCCTAATGATACTCAAGCATTACCGGGTGACGGCTGGAAAATACTGGAGTATTCTGTGTGACTGGTGGAGCCAGCGAGACTTCTAGAAGAGGGCAGGAACTGCTAGAAAGCCCCTCTCCTGTGGTCTGGATGTAGAGGGTGGGCCAGCCTCCCTGGTCTCCTGCGTTGGACAGGCTGGAAGAAGTCCGAGGTGGGGGTATTGCTGTCTGGTAGTTACTTGAGCAGCCTGCAGTAATTGGCATCTTGTGGTAATTAACGGGAAGGTACTCAATATCTCTCTCTAATGGCCCTAGGGAGACCAGAGATGGCCTTGTCTTGGTCTAAGGCTAGGTTTCTGCCTGATAGGAAACCCATCCAGGCTGTCACCCCCAGTCCTGTCCAATCATCACTCAGGCCTCCAGTCTGACTGCCTGGGTGCTCTCGCTTCCCAATTTCTTTCCAACCCCCAAGTGAGTTCAACCCAGGGGTGAAGGGAATGGACAGGCCAGGGGCATGCAGAGTGGTGAGCTGAGCTGTCCCCTTGGGTGGGGCAGCAGTCAGATCGCCCCCACCCCCTCCTGCACAGCCCCCTCCCTCCTCCCTCACCCGTGGAGCTAACAAGGAGATAATGGACTCGAATAGACAGATTGATTATGAATCCAAATGAACGCGGCAGCTTTGAGCACGCTGACTGACAGCTTGCACAGCCCCTGGCCACCAGGCTGTGGGCTCCCTGGGTCCCTACGGCTGGGGACACTCTGGACAGGGGCTGGGGAGGGGTGAGCACACCAGGGAAGTGCCCTCCCTGGGAGTCACTAGAGGCTACTCGGCAGACCTCAGGGGCGGAGGACCTGATGTGGGGTGCTGTTGGGGCCAAGGCTGGCAGGGGGAGGAGGAGGGTTGGTGCTTACCTAAGGCAAGTCCCAGGACAGAGAGAGAGGGTTCTAAGAACTAGTGGTGAGTCAGGGGCCCCTGGTGTGTGTGGCAGTGGCAGGGGGTGGGGCGGCCAGGGATGGACATGTCACTGCAGGGTGGCTGAGTTCTCAGGAACTCTCTGGCGTGTCAGATCCAGAAGCCAGGCAGAGTCAGCCATCAGCCGTCACCCCAATGCCTTCCACTCTTCTTTCTTTCTTCTCCCCCCGTCTCTTTCTCTGGCTCTCTGCCTTTATCTATCCGTCTCTCTGACTCCCTTTTCTTATCTTTCTCCTTGCCTCCCCCCTCTCATCTCTTCCTGTACATTTCTTTTTCTGTGTCCCTGTTTCTCTCTGTTTTTCTTCCCTCCCTCCTACCCCCCATTCAGACTTCCCATCTTTCTTGTGCTGGGTGAGCCAGCCAGGCCCTCCTCCACCCCATGACTCCATCTCTGATTGCCCCTCTTCCCCTTCCCGGGTCCCTCCTGGGGCAGGAGGAGCCCAGGGGTCCCTGGCTGACAGCCTCTATGCCTCTTGGTTGTGAGAAAGAAAGCACTGGGGGAGGGAGCGAGGGCTGCTTCTGAAGTACGGGGAGGGGCCAAGGCTGTGAAGGGGCAGAGAGGGTGGGGTGTGCTGGTGCCGAGCCCACAGAGTGGCTCCTGAGCGGGCACGTTTGGGAACACACATTTGCATGCCCACGGGGCTTCCTCTGCTCTGGGTGGGGCAGTGGCCATGATGAACCTGGGCCCTTTGTGGAAGGAAGCAAGGGTTTGAGCATGCCCCCCCCCCCCCAGGTTGTGCCTGGCGGAAAAGCAGAGCACAAAGCTGAGAAGGAACTGGCCCAGGGTGTTTATGAGCGTGTGCCCGTGCATTCTCGCACGTGTGTGGGAGAGGTATATGGGAGCTTTGTCCGTGTGCTCCTATGTGAGGGTGCCTCTGTGTTCCTGCACACACGTGTGCAGTGTGAATTGTGTGAGCAGGAGCAGCTCCGTGCTTATGTTTATGCCCCTGCGAGTGTATATGTGTGCATGCTTGGGTGTGGGTATGGTGCAAAGGGAATGGGAGAGTGTGCACATGTGTGAGGGTGTGCATGTGTGTGTGTGTGTCACTTGTGAGGAGGTGTGTCTGAGCATCTGTATGCCCGGGTCTGTGTGCGAGTGGTGCACATGCATGCATGCACGTTATGGTGAGGGAGGTGGGTGGTCGTGGGAGCCCAGGTCTGGGCCTGACCCGTGACAGCCGACGTTCTCCCCACAGCTATGTGGAGAATCAGCAGCATCTACACAGCCTGGAGCTCGG